TTGTCTAGGCTCACTAACCACTCACGTGGAGATGTTAGAAACCAGGTTGCACAAGTTTATTTATTGTTCAAAATATGTGAGGTTTTGCAGTAATCATAGAAAAAACAAAAAATGTAGTTGAAAGTTACCCTTTAAAAAAGGGAATGACTAGCCTGGTGCTGGTGGCTCACACCGTAATCCTCGCTACTTGGGAGGCAGAGATCAGGAGGACTGAGGTTTGAAGCCAGCCCAGGCAAATAGTTTGGAGGCCCTATCTCAAAAAAGGAGAGGGGGAGGCTGGTAGAGTGGCTCAAGGTGTAGGCCCTGAGTTCAAACCCCAGTACTGAAAAAAAGAAAGGAAGAAAGAAAAGAAGTGAATAAAATTGAAATTTTACTTACAAGTCTAGATGCAAAGTTTCTACATAAACTATTATTAAATCATCCAGATGTGGTGGCACACACCAAGTGCCCAGAGCTCAACTGGAGAGTTGAGGCAGGCAAATCAAGGCCAGCCTGGGCTGTATAGTGAGATCCTGTCTCAAAATAAATGTATGTATGTATGAGATAGATAGATAGATAGATAGATATTAACAAATGACATAAAATATTAGTAAGATAAACTTAATGCAAAGACTATAAAGTCTATCCCAGGGATGATGGCTTATGTGGAAAAAGCTAACTGATTACTAATGATTTACAGTTTACTAACTGATTAGTAAAATTATCATCTCAGCAGGTAAAGTCATGCGTGACATCCAGTGTCTTTTTTTTTTTTAATCATATTATTGTTATACTTGGGGGTACTTGTGACATTTATAAATGCACTTATAATTTATCTTAGTTAAATCTACACCTTCCATCATTGTCCTTTATCTGCCATCCCTGTCCAATGTCTCCTGATGGAAGCCCTTAGCAGTCAAGACCAGAAGGAGGAAGAGGAGGAAAAGGACAAAGAATGAATAATGTCGAAACACACTGAAAGCTGTTGAATAATTGGGGTACAGGGGTTAGGGTAAGGGAGAGTAATAGGGATAGTCTGATTAAAGCACTATTCTGATTCATATGTGAAATACCACAGTGAGATCCCTTTAGACAATGAATATAAACTCTGAAAAATGAAGGGTCAAATGTACTAGTGGGAGGGGGAGTATGAATGGAAAGGGTAAAGGAGAGTGAATATGGTCAGTGTACTTGATATAAAGACAGAAGGAAACACATGTACTTTATAGTCACTACAGTTAACTGGAAACATCAAATCTAATAGAGAGTCATTAGAAGTTGTTCCATGAAGGTCAAGTTCGATACAAACAGGGCACTTTTGCTGGAAGCCTCGCCAAAAGCTGCACTGAGATGAAAAAAAAAAAAAAGCATAAATGTCAATAAAATAGTTGAGGTTTTATAAGGGAGCTAGCTGAGCAGAGTGACCAGGCACCAAATCACATAGTGAATCAGTAACTCTCCCATAGAAAACGGGCATTTGAAATCTCTTTTCACTTTTGCATTAACCTTGAAGACTTCAGTGTCATTGTACAGATGTGAAAACTGGAATTAAAGTTGAACTTGACCAAGATCACACACTTTATAATTAGCAGAGAATGATTTGCATCTAGTCTGCCAGAGCTGAGACCTTACTATTTTTGGCATTGTAATACTCTACAGAGTTTTTGTTCCTTAGTGCCTTAGGTTAGGCTGCAAACTTCTTAATTGGACATCCTTTTAATAAGTGGACACTGACAGTGCATCAGAGTGAAACCCAGAGGCAAGACTGATGATTTATTTATTTATTTTATTTATTTATGGAGGTTATATTTGAAGGTGGCGAAAGCTGTGCTCACTGCATCATGGAACTCTTGGGAGTCTGCTGCCCAGAAAGCAGCTCTGGCATTGGTCTGTCTGGGTGCTGGGAGGCTTCTTGCGGATGCTGCCGCTCTTAGGAGCCTGCAATCCCAAGTCCAGAGTACTCCCAGAGAGCTTCCGCTGTGTTCTTGAGATCGAAGCCTCAGCAGTTCAGAGACATCCACCCAAGAACAAGATGGGATGAAACAGCCAGAGGGGGTGTGATTGCCAGGTTTTGCTGGATTGGTGTCATTTGTTTGTACATACAAATACAGGATGTTTAAGAACCACACCTGCTTATGTGTGCACATGCATAGCACACCATGCAGGGTGCTTTTCCATGGCTCTGTGGAGGGAGACCAGGTACATGCACATGCAAGGAGACTCCCTGATAGTACATTCCTTTGTTTATAGGTCACCTTACCACTTTGCAAGATGTGTCTGATGGTGTGGATCTCAAATAAGCCTCTGCTTCCAACAGATCTGGAGCAGCTGGGCATTGGCTGGGCCACAGCCTCCGTTGTGGCCATAGGAGCATAAGGAGGGTACAGCCCTCTTGCTCCTTGATACAAAGCCATCGTTAGAGTAGATTAGACCTTTCTCGGTGACACTTCATAGGCAAACATTTGGGGAGCTTTGCACTTCATGGTGTGGGGCTGCAGTGCTGGGATGGGTGTATAGGGAGGTGGTGTTTCTGGCTGGCTAGCGGATACTGGGAAAAGTGGGTGTGCCCCATTTCTCAGAATGACTTCCTACACATTGTTAACCCGAGCAGGAGTCGCAGAAACTGGTGGATTGGGGTGAATAGATGACTAATGCAGAGGTGACCGTGATGTGTTAACTGAATTTTTAGAACTAACTGCTAGGAGCATGTTATAATGTTTAATACACATGTGACATCTAGCATAACAGATGACTGCAATATGGATGCTGAATAAAAATTTAACTGATGGGTATTTGTTGAGATTTTCAGAAACCTTTGTATTGTGAGAATCATCCCCTTGTCTCCTGGATTCGTAGAAAGCAAGGCATACCTTCTTACTTGGAGAATCTGTACTTGTATTAATCTCAACAAAACACCTGTGGGGTAGGAATTGGAGGTAGACTCACCTGAGAGGCAGCAAGGTAATAATCTAGAAATACCAGGCTTTGTTTATCTGCCTTGCCACCACCTGTGTGGTGGAACCTGAGGAAAGGTAGTGAGCAACAGAGTGTAGAAAAGAGTGAAAGGTCTTAGGGATTAGTTTGGTTTCTTTCAGTGACTGGAACTGGAAAGGCACGTAACAGCTCTTTCCTATCTGAGCTCTGAACCTGAGGGAAGAGGGGAAGATGGGAGACCCTCTCTGGGTCCACTAGATGGGAGGTCAGTCGTGGTTTATATCTGCAGGAAGTAGACCTCTCAGTACTGGACTCAGGATTAGACAGACCTGCCTACCAAGCATGCAGGCACCCCCCCAACCTCCAGGTGGACCCCACAGACACAAGGATGGCATCCAGCATATGGTATTTGCTGCTCAGGTGGCTCCCAAAAGGCAGTGGAAGGAGAGGCAGACTCTGCCCAGTTCTACTCCACCTCCATGAAAAGAAGATGAAGAAAGAGAGAGGCCAGGAATGTGATGCAGGTGGAACTACACCAAAGGGAAGGAATCAAAAGCAAGAGAATGAACACCTAAGTAACAAACCAGGCACATTCTGGTTCACATCATCGAGACGTTGTGGAGTGGGTCAGGAGTCAGGCTTAGCTGAATCCAGCTCAAATGGTATTGGGGAAGAGGTGGCTGCCTCACCTCATCCTTAGGTTCTTCCCCTGTACCTTTACCCAAATTCCAGGCTTGGGACCCTCAGGCCTTGGTTTCAGAGATGGACAGCAGCTTTTCTGACGTCTCTTACCAAATTTCTGTATTACATCAGAGAGGACTACTGTGTATCCAAATGGGAATTAGTCACTGTTGATTGGGGGATCAGAAACAGGCATCAGCCCCATATCAAGTGAGCCAAGTAGAAAAAAATCCAGAAGGGATGTCTAACCAGGTCTTAAAAAATTAACAGTAGTTATGTCATATAGTAGCAATATTTTCCTGAATTCTTACAGTGCTATTTCTCTGAGTGTGTACTACTTTGCAAAGAGGGAAGATGATAAGAAGAACTTTTAAATGTCATGTGTTTTAACCTAGCCTTGTCCCCAAAAGGATTTGTGAAAAACAAATGAGACAAAAGGAAAAAGAAGCAACAGCCAACAAGGAGTTCCTATAGATGTGACAGAAACAGTGCACCAAAATATCAAGACAGATCTTTCTTTTCATCTGAGTCTTTGGCAGGGGTGGGATGGTATTCACTTCAAGGAAGCAGAAGGCAGGGTGGCTCTGAGGTACTCTGATCTAAGGGTGGCTATCAGCTGTACCTAACAAGTATCTTTATGGGTGGGGGACTCCTAGGCCCTGAAGGTTGTGGGATGACCACTTACCTGGGTCACCTGCTTCATGGAGTTTCAGAGGAGCAGGAAGCACTTAGGTGGAATGTCGAGAGGCAGTGAGATCCCCTATGTCTGCAGGGTTGCGTGTGCTGTGCCTACAGCTCCAGGCCACACTGATACCTGATCACCTCATTGATTTGGTTATGGAGGCTCTGATTGGAACTCATCACTTCTACCAGGAAAACCAGCTCTGCACTCACCCACCACAGAGCTGGCCCTCAATCTTTGCAATCATCTACCTCACTTCTAGGTTAAAGTGACCTCAAAGATTTGCCTTCAGCCCCAGAGATTACAAAAGTTCTTCCTGGAAAGACTTTCCCAGGCTGGGATTGCCCCACATGTAAATACTTGGGTATTATTTTCACTTAGGAGCATCTCCTCTGCTTGCCATAGTGCCTCACAGCTAGGGTCACAACTAGGGTACTCATGGTAGATCACACTAGAGCCACCCATGGGAGCAGATATATTGAGACCTTCTCCTAAACCCCAGCCCTGATCCTACATTGAGAAAACCAGCTTACCTTTCCAGAGCCTGTTGACTGGGTTTTCCACCCACTGAAAGCCATGTCCTGTTTGGACAACCTAGACCTTTAAGCTCAAGATTGTAAAGTCCAGCAAAACGCCACAACTGAGAAGTAGACTATATTTGAATAGTGCACATTAGGGTTCAGTGTGTTTTTTAATTAATTCTTGGTTACTTCCCTCTAAACAGACAGCTACAGACAGTTCTTCTAATTCCTCTCAGAAGAGGGAACAACCTACTCGGACAATCTCCTCTCCCACATCTTGTGAGCACAGGAGGATTTATACCCTGGACCCATACCCCATGGACCATTATCACCTCGACCAGGTAAGCGACTTTCTCTTCCCCCAAGGGGACCATCCATCAGTGTGGGTTCTGGAATGGCTCCTTCCCCCACTCAGCGAGATGCCCAGACCAAGCCCCTTCTGCTCTCCTACTTTGTACCCCACTGCACAGTGGAGGTGCTGAACGTAGCTCAGCCTTACTCAGTGTTTAAATGTGCCAAATACCTCACCACACCCTTTATATCTTTTGTCTGGTTTAACCTTCACAAATTATCCCAGGAGGCAGGTCATGGGCAGCCCAGGTTTATAGCTGAGTATGTGGAAGAACTATGGAGTACGTGGGGAATGAGATTCAAATCCATGCCTGTCCTCACACAGGTGCTAGGCTGCCTCTGCCCTCTCTATTCCTCTGTCTGAAGAGCCTGCTGGCATGATATGAGAACACAAGGCCTGGACTGGGTAAAAGAATGCTGCACGCTTGGCTCAAGCCCCCTGGCACAGCAGGCTGCAGGCCCAGTCTTGTTCAGGAGAGGTGGCTGCAGTCTGGAATTGAGTAATCAGCAGATCTATACTGAGTGGCTGCTTTATAGAACAAGTTCTCAAATCGTGGGGCCTGGACTGGTGCCTGTGTGGGTGACGTGGCTCCCAGGCTGCTTTGAAATGAGAACTGGGCAGGAAGTTTGGGGTTTTTTTGTCTTGTTTTTGTTTTTAACATAAAGCTACATTTGTTTGACACTTGGAGTTTGAACCCGGGCCTTTGCGCTTGCTAGGCAGGCACTGTACTACTTGAGCCATACCCCATACCTGTAGTCCATTTTTGCTCTGGTTATTTTGAAGATATGGTCTCTTGCCTGGGCTGGCCTGGAACCACAATCTTCCTGGTCTCAGCCTCCCAAGTAGCTAGGATTACAGGTATGAACCACCAGCACCCAGCTGTTTTAACTTTTCTTTTTTAAAGATAATTTTATTGTGTGCCTCTTTTTTTTTTGGTCTTTTTAAAAATCACATCATGGTAGCAGTAGCTGGAAATTGACGTTTTGGCTTTCCTTACTTTGGAAAACAAAAAATTTGGAAAGGCCAAGATTTGTTTTAAATCCTTCCAGATTGTGACTTCTCAAAGGCTGTGAAACTGTGATGTGGAGAATGAGTGAGCCATGGCTCCTGGGCTGAGGATCTCATGATCTGGTGGGAAGTAATGAGCAGACCTCTTTCCGTGGGATACCGTGGTTACTGTAACAGTAACCGCAGTAGCAGGTGTCCAGCATCCTTTCTCAGGTGCTAGCTCACCCCTGCACAGGTTATTTCTTTTCAGCTCACAGCACTCTATACAGTTTGATAGTCAGGGAAACTGAGTCCTGCTAGTAAATGTCGTATTCCACATTGACTATAGTGGATCACCCCAGAGCCGTGCTTCTTGCCTGAGGCACTTCTGTGCCTTCAGAGAATGTGAGTGGCAGAGAATGGATCTCATTCATCTCTCAGCTGAGATACCCAGGGCATACATTCAATAAATATTTCCTCAGCACCTGCCATTCTGGTTGAGGCACTGTAGCAGGACTAACAACAGAGAAATCTCTTACGCTGAGGGACAGTGCATCTTGGACTTGAAGGTTAGCCAGTGCAGCTCTGGGTCTAGCCCTAAACGACACTTTCTAGTATGTCCCCAACTGCTCTTGTGACCGTGGACTGCATCTGTTTTGACCCATTGTGCACTTGTACACACATGGATAATGAGAAGCTTCATGAAGCAGAATGTAACCTTTATAACATGCAGTGCACTCCAATATGTGTGTGTGGTTGATTTTTCTTTTTTGGTACTGGGGATTTGAACCCAGGGCTCTCCCACTGAGCTACATCCCTATTGGTTTTGGTTTTGGTTTTGGTTTTTTGGTTCTAGGAAGCAAACCCAGGACCTTGCACAGGGCACCCTGGGGTGGGGGCAGGCAGGTTCTGCCTTTTGATAAAAGAGTGTTACGCTTTCAAATTTTGTCATATACCCTCGCATGTGCTCACTTTCCCGCATATGTAGTAAAATTTCCACAAAAAGAGAGACAAGGCTCCACTCAACCCATTAAACGGATTTGCTGATCCGGCGATGGCTTGAGACTCCCAATTCAAAATCCATTTTTGACCAAGTAGTCCAGTAAGGGGGCGGGTGAGGGTCAGTTTCCCCAAGAAATGCCTCAGTGAAGGTAAAAGGCACACTTGAGAGGTTGTGGAGGGAGATTTTTGTGAGTTTGGCCACTGGTGTAAAACCATCTCTGGTTCTTCCCGGGGCAGCGGATGCCAAGGCCCTACCCCCAGGTGAGCTTCCCGGACGACGACGAGGAGATCGTGCGCATCAACCCCCGGGAGAAGATCTGGATGACCGGCTACGAGGACTACCGGCACGCACCGGTCAGGAGCAAGTACCTGGACACCTCGGAGGACGCGGACTCCTACGTGCGCTTCGCCAAGGGCGAGGTCCCCAAGCACGACTACAACTACCCCTATGTGGACTCCTCAGACTTCGGCCTCGGTGAGGACCCCAAGGGCCGCAGCGTGATCAAGACGCAGCCGCCCCGGGGCAAGTCGCGGCGGAGGAAGGAGGACGGCGAGCGCTCGCGGTGCGTGTACTGCAGGGACATGTTCAACCACGAGGAGAACCGGAGGGGCCACTGCCAGGACGCGCCCGACTCCGTGAGAACTTGCATCCGCCGAGTGAGCTGCATGTGGTGCGCGCACAGCATGCTCTACCACTGTATGTCGGACCCCGAGGGGGACTACACAGACCCCTGCTCGTGCGATACCAGCGACGAGAAGTTTTGCCTCCGGTGGATGGCTCTTCTGGCCTTGTCTTTCTTGGCCCCCTGTATGTGCTGTTACCTGCCCCTTCGGGCCTGCTACCACTGCGGAGTAATGTGCAGGTGCTGTGGCGGGAAGCACAAAGCGGCTGCGTGACTCAGTTTCCCTTCCTTCTTCCCTGTCCCTCACCCACAGCCACGAGGGAACTTGTTATCTTACACACTCTCATCTGCTCCCCTGTTCCCTTCCACTCCAAGGGGCAGAGGAGAGCAAGAGGTCTCCTGGCTCCCCTGGTCCCTTGAGGCGCCATTCCAGCCTGGGGAACCTGCCTGCCTGGTGGACTCTTCACTCCCCAGCGCCCACTGCGTCAGCCACACGCCCATCCACTCGCTCGCACAGTGTTTTGAGGAAAGGAACCTTCCGCATGGACTCGTGTTGTGTTACCTACCGTAGTCGAGCTAACTGTCTTAGCCATGCCTCGATGTTCTGTCGCTCCTCCCTGCCTCTTCCAGTTCCAAGGAGTCTGCGGTGGAAGCTACTGGGTTTGGGTGGGGTTTCCAGTTGACTTTTGCAAGAACATCGAAGACTCCTGGGTGTACCGTGCCTGTTGCTAGCAAGCAGTAGGTCCCTGGGGAAATGTGATGTCAGAATGATGAAACCCTATCACACGTAGTATTGTCACCTGCAGGCGGCTATCACGTGTAGGAGGTGAGCTAGTTAACAATTTTGTACCACAAAAGTCTTGCTTTATCTTTTCCAAAGCCAAATTTCCCATGTGAGCTGCACTTTTCACTCATCCTCATTTTCTCCCCCACCAAATCTGTTGAATTTACTAACTGATGCAGAATATTCACCTGTAAAATGACTGAGAATTGAGCCTTAACTTCAGATAAACTTGTGAGAATCAGGAAAAAGTCCTTAAACTGCATTGCATCCTCTTGGTCCAGGGCTAGAAAGGGGATTCCAGGTTTCTACAAGCCTCCCCAGTTTTCCCTAAAATAGAATTTTTTACAGTTGTGTTGCCACCACTTCTAAACACTTAGCAATATTAAGATAACACATTAATGAAGTAAGAAATTTTGCTCATTGTTTTGCAAACCAAATATTCTATTCAAATACAAACCAATGTTCTATGAGCAAGTTCCAACTGAGAAACACCGAGCTTCTAGTGAATAAACCTATTGGAGCTTCCCCTCTCTCCCCCCAGTGACTTTTTTATTATCCAGGGGGAATTTTAAACGTCAGACATTTCATTGAGAGTGGTGGGTTACGTTTTGTGTGTGGTTTACATTTTTGTTTTCATGGTGGACTCAATTTCACATCACCACATTCTTCATTTGTACTTGGGAAAAAACAAGGCCATATGTAAAAAACTTCCGATGCCTAAGTGTCTTTCTCCTGCAACTCCACTCCCAGACTTGCCACATTGGGTGCACAGATGGTTTGGTCACAGACCGATTCTACTGTCACCTGCCATGTAGGAGGCTTCTAATTAGCTGGGAAAGAGTATTTTTCTAATATATTACAAGAAATAGCCAAATCTTCTTACTGAAGAAAAAAGAAAAGTAGAGTGGTTACCTGGACCTAGCATAGTACAATCAACCTTGTGGAGAACACAGGGGGACAGGCTTGTCGCCGTTGGCTGTTCTTCCCACCACCATCTTTCCATGGTAATTGCCAGCCAAAGGCATAGTCTAGTCCCCCTCTCCTCCCCTCCCCTTCCCTTCTTTATTGCACACAGGATTTCAGTCTTCAAGGAAAGGGACTTTTTTCTAGCCTGCCCATTGTCCTGGGAAAATGCTAGCCATGCTTACCTTCGTGGGAATGTTTTCAGCTCGGCTGAGAGCCTGTCACATTTCTTTAGACAGATCATCAGTGTAAATACCCAGTTGCTTATGAGTTAGTTGGTAGACGTTTTTTGTTTGTTGGACTGACTGGGGCTCTCCAGTATGGAAAAGGAGCAGAGAGCTGTCCCTCCAGTTGGATGGAAGGAAGGAGAAGCCCTTCCCTGCCAGGAGCACATCTAAAATACCCTCAGCCAGCCTCCAAGCTGTGAGAGACCACCTGCCCCAGCCTGAGGGATCGCCTCAGGGCCTTTCTCTAAGGTCACCTCTGCAAAGCACAACACTAATATATGTTTTGTCAGACCTCAGTTCATGTCCCCTATTTATTTCAAGGAGAACACACCCATACCAGCCACCTTGTGTTTGTCACCTCTATTTAGTCATTTCTTGTTGGTCTTCCTTTACCCTTGCCCAAGAGTTTCCAACCCTTTTAAGAGTTATGCTAGCAAATCTTTCTCTGCATATCCTTTTTGATCTATGAAGGCAGCGGTTAAGGGCACAATGACAGCCATGGGGACATTGTGTAAATACATCTCTTTAATCGCCACACTGCAGCTGAACAGTGTGTAGTATTTTCCCAGTCAGCTTTGCCATACTGACGTCAATCATTTGAGAGAAATTATTCAGATTTTATTTTTGTATCTGTGGTAACAAAACATTAACCAAAAGATTCTCTGTTTAGAAGCTTCCTGGACACACCCCCACACACACCCCAAGCTATTTGCTCTCATTAACAAATTAAAGTGCCTGAAGCATAATTCATCCTTTACCTGTATACTAAAAACCCTGTTGTATTGATTTTTTTATAATAAGCCTTTTTACCTGTGTAAAAATATATATACAAGTGTATGATGTATATTTTAGTTCTTAACTTTTTTTTATGGTTTCTAATATGTTTGACCAATGTAGCCGTTGCGTTAAAATGTACCATGTAAATATAAAAACATCCTATCAGATCACTGACTTTGAGGTATTTGTCCAGCTGGAAATGGGTAGTGGTAGAGCCTCGGTATCTTGCACACAGGATGGGACGGGGTTTCCTTCTCAGAAGGATGTGTGGACACCAGTCTGTTTTTGTGAGGCCCTTCCTGCCTGTAGTTATGTCATATTCCCAAGGGGAGGTCCTTGGGCTGAGATCTCACACACAGCCCAGCCAGGGGAACACCCCTTCATCCTTGGCCTGCCCTCCCAAGTGCTCCTCAGGGAACAGCTGTACTTCCAGTTTTCCACTAGATCCTGCTCAGCCTCAGGAGGGAGTGGGTATTTGGGTAGACAATGGTTAAAACTGCATAACCCTCGGCCTCCTCAGAGCAGCTCTCTTGGCCTGCTCTGCTTTCCAAATGCTTTCTTGGAATGCTCAAAAGCTATAGTGAGTGACAATCCCCAGAGGAAGTAAAGCATGGGGTATTTTGAGTGTCCCAGAGGAAAGTTGGCTCCTTCTCTAGAGAAGTGAGTAGAGTCCTTCTTTTGAAGAGGTGCAGAGAGAGCCCCTCCATCTTAGTGTTAACTTCCCCAAATGGGGACTTTTCCAAGCCACTGAGAAGGGTGAAAAGCAAAGAGAAGATGGGGGCATGGCTTGAGTGGTAGGGTACCTGCCTAGCAACAAGGCCCTGGGCTCAATCCCCAGAACCGGGAGAAAAGCCAAAAGAAGTGCTAAAGTCAAGATAAAAGCAAGAGCACACAAGGGAGATATGAGGACAGGTAAAACACCTAAAAAATTAGCTAGCATTTGTTGCCCTTAATGCAGAGAAACTAAAGCAGATACTTTAAAAGCAACTGAGGCCAATGGGAGAAGGGGACCAGGAACTAGAGAAAAGTTTAGTTTGAGAAGAATTAACCTAGAAGGTAACACACATGCACAGGAAATCAATGTGAGTCAACTCCCTGTATAGCTATCCTTATCTCAACCAGCAAAAACCCTTGTTCCTTCCTATTATTGCTTATACTCTCTCTACAACAAAATTAGAGATAAGGGCAAAATAGTTTCTGCTGGGTATTGAGGGGGTGGGGGGAGAGGGAGGGGGCGGAGTGGGTGGTAAGGGAGGGGGTGGGGGCAGGGGGGAGAAATGACCCAAGCATTGTATGCACATATGAATAATAAAAAAAATTTTAAAAAGTGCTGAAGTTAGGCGATGAGAGGAGGACCTGGGGTGGCTCCAGCACTGCATTAGAGGAGACGTCCTAAGACCTTACGTGACCGTCTTGTTACCCCTCCGGTCATCCCTGTTTTACAGTTGAGGGACCCAAGCTTAGAATGAGTAACTAATGTGACCTGCAGTCACGTGAGGTCGCTGACAGCCCAGCTGGCTGCAGAGCCCAGGGTCTTGCCTTGCCACGCTGCCTCTCTCCCCCCACTCCCTCCACGTTGGCAGCCAGAGCCGCCTCCATGCCCTTAGGCTGTCCTGGGAGTAGCTTGTCTTTGGTGCCCTCTGTGCTTGGTCAGGAACTGGACACACTACACAGCATCTTTCACCTGCAAAATGGAGGGTCATTTCAACTTTACACATGAGGGAGCACAGTATAGGAACAATGTAACTCTAAGCTCACAGTCTTTCTTTTTTCCTTGGTGACATGGGTTTGAACTCAGGGCTTCACACTTGCTATGCAGGTGCTCTTACTATCTGAGACACTCTGCCAACCCTTTTTTTGTAATGGGTTTTTTGAGATAGGGTCTCACAAATTTTCCCGGGCCGGCTTTGAACTGTGATCCTCCTGATCTCTGCCTCCTGGGTAACTAGGATAATAGGCACGAGCCACTGGCACCTGGCTCACTGGACAGTCATTCCGCCAGTAGCCCTTGGGCAAATGACCTCACCCTTCTGAGTTCCCTCAGGTATAATTGTCACGGGACCCAATCCAGCAGCTTGTGCACTCAGTGAAATCCAGAGAGAGTGTTGAAGCAAGTCAACTTTGTACAAAAAGCCAGCTAATCAAGACAATGGAGGACTCCCTTGTTCAAAGTCCATCTCACCGGGAGGCTAGCTTAGGGGCAGTTTATATAGGAGGTGGTGATCACAGACTGGTGGGCACCTAGTCACAGGGTGCTGTTCGGTTAGTGCTGCAGGAACAAAACAAAGATAATTGTTTCCTCAGGCTCTTCTTGTCGCTGATGTGTTTGCCCATTCGCAGGTGCAGTCCTGACATTGCCCAATGGAAAGGCTGGAGGGCCCTCTTGCTGATCAAAATCATGTTAAAGAGAGAAAACACATTTCACGTGATTACTGTGGCAAGAAGGGTCAGTTAGGTGAAGTAGAGAGTCAGGCACGCGATCTGGCCTCCCTTGGCCTCATACCAAGTAATCACCCCTGCCCTCAGCGTCTCCGCAGGAGGCACTCTCAAGATTGGAGTCCCTTTCTCTGTTCTTTGTTCTGGTCCCCAAGGAAGCATCAGGAGCTGAAGAAAACAACCTGTTTCAAGATATAAGAGGTGGAAGCACGCTGCGGATTTTTGAATATTTGGACCTACAATCGATTCATTTCTACATCTTTGTGATTCTGAATTTGGTTGTCATTCCTGGCTTGAGTTCTGGGGAGTCAGGCCATGCAGCTTGGAAGAACTCATGGTGTCTGTCCCAGCAGTTCTGCATAGAAGGCTGGGCCCAGCTCAGAGGCACACTGAAGTTGGGGCGCACTGTCTCCAGGGCACTGCCTGCCTGAAAGTCCAGACTGCTTCTGTGGCCTATGGAGTCCCCTCCCTGCAAGTCAGGCCTTTGCTCCTCCCCCAGTGGTGGTCTACCCCTCCTCCCCTGAATGATAAACACCCCCCAGAAAATTAGGCCACTTCCCAGGGGAAAAACATCGACTGAACCCTGTTTTACAGGGATGCACAGGGTGGGTTTTATTTTATCCTCACATGCAAGCAGGTGATCACAGGGTCATCTCGTGAAGGTTGGGGTGGCAGGCAGAGTCTGCACAAGTGCCCCCCACCTCAGGCATTCTCACTACAGGCGTGTTGGACTTCCAGTTTGTGGTTAGACATACCACTCTTGGTTGCATGTTTTGTTGTTGGTATGTTGTTTGGGTTTGTTTTGGGGTTTGTTTTCTGTTTTATTTTGTTTTTTCTATTTTTGCAGTGCTAGGGATTGAACCCAGCGCCTCACGCATGCTAAGCTTGAGCTCATTTAACACTGAGCTACTGCCCGTCAGTTTGTTTAGGTCTGAACCAAATGTGTGGAATGAAGGGAGATGACCCTGGTGACATTTTGCTGATCAGGTCCCAGTTGTGACAGCCAATCAGGGCCTGCACAGTCTCCTCAGCAGAACAGCCAGCAATGTCAGGGAGCAGGAGGTTTTGTATAAGGGAAGAAAAGGACAGTATCTATGTGAGGGTCATATGTGGTATGTTTTCCCCCTCTCATGGCCTGTCTTTGTTTGCCAAAAACAGAAGTAAGCCCAGCATCTTCTCCTCCAACAATTATGGAAGAGAAAACATATCTCAGTCATTTGCACCTAAGGGTGAATTTGCTACCTCACTCACTACCTTATTGGGAACATTTGAATCTTAGATCTTGTGTCAGTAATGGAATACAACGTAATGGTCCTTTCATCTATTTTAGTTCTTCACTATTTGTACTCTGTTGATGTGTTAGACTAAGTGATTCCTAAAGTGCTTTCTCCCCTGTGCACTTAGATTCAAAGTTATAGGAACAAGTGAGAGATCAGAGTGCAAGAAAACTTGAGTAGCTGGGACATGGGTCAGCGGTACCTCATGTGCCTGGGCATGAGACCCTGGGTGCGATCCCCAGCACCACAAAACAAATAAAAGCAGGGCTCCCCACCTAGTGTCCTGCAGCCATGGGAGAAGGAAAAGGACAAAGCCAGGCTATTCCACTCTATCCATCTGAGAAAATACAGCCTCTGAGTTCACCGAGAGAGACAAACTTTGTCCTAGCACGACTTTTTTTTCCTCTCCCAGATGAAAATAGCTCTTCTTTTTCTGATATCTTGTTAAAGAAAATCAAATAATACAGAAGGAATGGAGATCATCTGAAATTCTCCACTACGAGGTCAGCAGTGATTGTACCCGGAGTATCTTTCAAGAGCAGCCTTCAGCCCTCACCTTCCAGCAGTCGTTTGTGCTTTCTTTTTTTGGAGAATGAGTTTCAGCGCTTGCCCGCCACCCTGCACCAAGGCATTCTCACTCTGGGCTTCCTAGTCACATTGACTAAGCCTCATGTGGCTTTTCCCGAAGGAATACAAAAACAAATTTTATTTCCTGCATTTTTCTGTGCTCCCAGTTTTTTGTCATTGCATCCACACGTGTCCAACAAATTGGCTGACTTTAGAATCCTTGGCCAGTAACCGTTCCCCCTGAATATATGTGGCTTTTTTTTCATATGTGCATACAATGCTTGGGTAATTTCTGCCCCCTGTCCCCACCCCCTCCCTTATATATATGGCTTTTTAAATTTGTGTTGACTTGTGAAAAAGACCAGTGTGAGTCCTGCCTGATTTTTGTTCATTACTAACATTTTAAAACCTGGATCTTGCCATTGAAGCTTTTGCTTATGAATACAGTATTGCTTTTTTCCCCTGAAATTCAGTAAGCCCTTTGAGTTTATAGAATCAGTTGGTTTAGAGGGTTTTTTTGGCTTGTTTTTTTTTTGTTTTGTTTTTTTGGTGGAACTCGCACTTGCTAGGCAGATGCTCTGCCACTTGAGCCACTCCACCAGCCCTAGAATCAGTTTTTGAACTCAGCAAAATTTTCTTCTTATATGTCTTTAGTGATTGCCTCTCCTT